TGTGCCTTGCACACTAATTAAAGATAATACAAAAAAAAAGTTATATTGTCCTGGAATTTTAAAAAATCAAAGCGCAATTAATATAAAACACATCTTCAATTTTTAGTGTTTTTTCTCTCCACTATGTCAACTTGTATAACATTAAAAGATGATAAATGCAAAAAGTTATATTGTCCTGGAATTTAAAAAATCAAAAAGCGATTAATATAAAATATATGTTCAATTTTTAGCGTGTTTGTTCTCTCCACTGTGTCACTTATACACCATTAAAGGACAATAAATACAAAAAGTTATATTGTCTTGGAAGTTGCACTACCATTTGACTTGCGTAGTGTGACTTTAAAGTGACCATGGTGGGCTATTTAATGTTTGAAATCAAACTGAGCCCAAGAACTTTAAATGCTTGTTCTGTAATCCACATGTTTTTCCCTTTAAACTATTCATTACACATGCCTGCAAATTTAAACTTCATAAAAGTTGCTTTGGTTTTAATAATGGATTTTCCATAATTCAGATATACAGATTTTGAAAATAATATTCATTTTTTTCTATCACATAAGGATTTTTTTATAAATTGGGAGGAATAAAAAAAACTTACTTAGATCAAATTATTATTTCGTTTACCACAAAGAACATTTTTTATTATTATGTTTGGGTTCTAGAATGATCGATAAGACTCTCACATCACGATTGGTCTAGAGAAATAAATCTATAGCCAGTGGTTGTCAACATTTTCAGCATAACAAAATGTGACCCGATTTCAATGAAAATGATTCACTTATGTAAAAGTACATATGACGTTTTGTGAAAAATCTGTACATGATGGAGAAAAATGGATATCATTTTTGGATTCAGCGTACAGGAATTACCGTAGAATGTGTAAAAATTTCAAGACAGTAAAACCATTGCAGGCCTGTGTTACTAAATCAAGTCACTTGGGACAATTTATTACTCTTAATCCATATACCCAGTTTAATGACCACAACATTTTTTTTTGTTCAATGCACAAGAATCCTTCCTGATTTATGCACTTGTTATTTGACCACACAAAACCCACTTTACTCAAGAAATCTTTAAGAACCAATTCTTATATCAAACATCAGCATCTTAAATTACTTCCACCTGAAATATAAAAATAAATTTTGTTGTCTTAATATTATAAACCCATTACAGTAAACACATTTCATTCTGTATTCATATATATAACTAGCTTTAGGGTAGTATGTTACAAACTTTACTAACTATTCTATCTATTAAAAAAAACTTGTGATCCCAACATTTTTAATACTTGGAACTGACACTCTTCAGAAACTTACTATATTGAAGAGTTTGATTAAGTACACCACTTTAAGGACAGCTTATTTTGTGTTCTTTATTTGTGTCTTTTAATACTGAAATGAAAGAGATTCTTCAGTATCTTTGTACGTGGCTTATTTTCACTTGATAAAACAAAACCTACAGCATGATCTGTACAAATAGAATAAATAATCTAGTTAATCACATTTATCTTTCACGAAGACCCCTATCAAGTGGATAATGCACCAAACTTCTATTAAGAAGACCCAGGATTGAATCCTGGCCACTACCAACAAAGAAACAGTCATTTTCAGGATGCCCCTGGAGATAGGAGTAGATTATCAGTCAAAATAAAGGATAAAAACAATTTTGTACCTAGTTATATGAAAAAATATAATAATTAGTTACTAATTAATGATTAGACTCAGGTGATCATACATGATATTAACCATAACCACAATTTTGCCTTAAGTACTGAAATCTTTTTAAACAGTTGTAAACTTTTCTACACCAAAAAAGACTATAATTTCTGGTGTCTTGCATGTTTTTGTATGTTTGGTAATACAAAAAGAACCATTAATTTCTTTACTTGATTAATTATTTAACCATGCTAAATTACTTGAACACGTGCTTAACAAATTAAAAGGACTTCTGACTATTTTATTGCCAACTTAATAATATACAATGAGGATAGCATACTTTATGTACAATAAACCTATGAAGGTTTCCTAATCTCGTATAAATAGCTACTTGTAGACCTATCAGTAAAACCATATAAATATCTCAAATAAGCCATTTCTTTAATATGTATGTATGTCATATAATAAGGTAAAATTATTGGTAGTAAGCAAATACAATGAACAAGAAATAGCACTTTGATTACACATACTCTCTTGTCATTGGCTCAACATATAAACATGATTGTCCAAACATTAAAAAAAACAAAAACACTTTCACTTCACAACCTTATTCTTTGAGAACCTTAATACTCAAATGAAACTGTTCTTAATCATCAGTCACAAAACCTCTACTGTCTGTCCTGAAGAATTTTTAGCACTTCCCGGCAGCCTGTTTCTGCAACTCTCCTGTGATGTTCTACTTCCTCCAGAACCTGAAATAAACCAGTAAAACACAAGTTTTCTGTTAAATTCAAAAACTATAAAAATACTTAAAACAGCTCCTTCCCCATTCATGTTTAATTTAAGTGATAAAACCTTACATTTTAAATTCTTTATTAAACAAAACATGGCTTTTTTTTTTATTTCTCCTTTTGTAATGAAGAAGGCTAGTGTAAAGATATATAACAATGGTATCAATGCACAACAATCTATGAATATTATTTTCAATTTACAGTTTTTTTTAGCATAAGAGTGACAATAACATCAATATTTTTTTTAAAGCTTTTGAAGTGTTGAATAAGTAATTCCTTCAGTCACACGACTTTCAATAATCTAACAGGCTTAATTACACGTCCTGTAGAAAAGTTAAGAATAACACTATTTTTTAAATTTTGGTAATCTCTATGATGAGATATTGAATATATTTTCAATCACAGTAGTCAGGCCTGCCGACTGTGTGTGTGTGGTGGGGGGTGGGGGGGGGGGGGGGGGGGGG